CTTTTTCTATGCGGGATAGGATTTGAGAGGGGGGAATCGGTGGAGGTGGTGAGATAAAAATACGTGATATATGTGGTGTGGTTTGGGAGGTTTTGGGGCCCACTTGAGATAAAAATACGAAATCGACGCGGAGTATTCGGGAAGGATGGCGTGGCGCAAGCCGTTGCAGTGTTGGAACCCTGTGGCCCGTGGGTGCTACGTCACGTGAGTCCAAAGGAAAAAGAAAATAAAAATAAAAATACTCTTACCATAGTTTTAACCATAGTTTTTAAACATGCCCTAAAATCGACTCGGGCAGATTTTTGGGTCACCTGATCACCGATTCAACAGCTAGATCACTTGGTTAATTGTTGAACCGGATAATTAATTTTAAAATTCTGTAAATTACATATATATATATATAGTATTTTTGACATAAAAATATACATAAAAATAATAAAATAAATGTTTTATCTATAAAATTTGTATATCAAAGTGTTAAAAGAATTGTATCTCACAATAAATATTTACTTTATAAATATATTTACATAGTTTTTATTTTTTATATAAAAATATTAAAAATAATTAAAAAATATATAAGGACCAGGTCAACCGGGTTGATCCGGCCGGGTCAAAGACCCGGGTCGACCGGGTCTAGGCAGGGTTGGTTGGGTTTTGACTGGGTTCATTGTTACCCAACCAGTTCTGGCTCCGGGCCGGCCGGGTCTCTGGTCGACCCGCCTGTCCGGTCCAAGTTGAAAAACAATGGTTTTAACTCACGCATTTGGAAGGAAAACGATATAACAAAGAAGAAAGTAATGAAAAATATAAAAAAAAAAAATAATTATGACTAAATCAATTAAAAAATTTAGTAAATAAATTTAACTATTATTAAACGCTTTCTTAGAAAACAATAATCGTTGTTGATACCTAATTTGGCTCAACTAACCAAAATGCTACACGTGGATATATATATATATATATATATATATATATATTAAATAAATATAAAATAGCAGGTTTTTCGATTTGATTTATTAATATTAATCGGGTTCTCAGAAGTCAAGATCGCCCACATCCGAGCCGGGTAGAATTCATTATCACCAGGCCGATCCAAATATCGTAAAGAAATCGCTCGGTTGACACAATAATTGTCGACAAGACAAATATCAATCGAAGTCGTTAAGTATTATAATTACTGGACCATGCGCGGTTATATCTGATTTATTACATGTGTATCATTATGTTACGTGATAAAATGTTGTAAAGGCCCCCAAAAAAGAAGGCTCATTAGATAAAC